TCTTCAAAATCTTCCTCATCCGTCTCTATTCCGTCTGGTTCTTCTCCTGTGTCTAGTTCATCACCTTGCTCTTCAGCAGCATCTTCGTCCTCGTCAACAATTTCCTCAGCTTCAGCCATTCGCATTTCTTCCAGAAATGCGTTCATTTCATTCCAGCCAATATATCCACATTGACGGAAACCTCGTAGGATCAGGTCTTCTGTTGCCACCTTTCTCCATACATCAAAGACCCACTCTGCAACCATAGTGTAGGACGCTCTGCGACGATTTCCAGCATCTGTATATTCGCACTCGCCCGAATCTATCCAATCTTGCCATTTTTCCTTTAATCCATCTTTGAAAGGTTTGTTGATATGACTGTCTAGAAACTGCAAAAGTGGTGTCATTCCCGTGTCAATGTACTTGTAATCAGTATTGCACGCAGTTAATGCCTCGGGAATACCTCCGTTTAGATGACAGGTTGCAGAATCCATCAATAACAGCGACTGTCCGGTATTAAAAAATCCTCCTGGTCTTCTTTTCCAAATTTTTGGGATGAACGTATTAACCATGAAAGTTTGCTTCATTGTCCCCCCTTTTGATCCAAGCACAGCCATTCCTGGAGGAAATTTCCCTTTTGGAGCCTTTTTTAGATTCTTAAATATCAACATCGGTGGTAATCGAACTGCATTGAACTCATTACCAACTCTCTTAACACCAGCAGTTAATGCAACGGTAAAGCGTAGTTTCTCGTTGCCAGTTGTTTTCATTTTAACCGTCTTAACGCCTTTAAAGTCAAACGACGAGGAACGAGGAACGTCAAAGTAACATGGGGTCTCGTCCATGTTCATAATAACGTCATAATCTTTGAGACTTTTCATATCATCAAGAAATTCATCACAAAGTTCCGGTGCATTTTGTGGAATCTTCTGACCAACGCTTGTTGCTCGACGAAAGGTGATGTTGTTTCGATTCAAAAATCGTGCCAACCACCCTTTTGATGCTTTGAAAGTGATGCCTGAGTCGGGATACAATTCATGAAAGGCAGCAATGGCTTTGCGTCGAATCATGTTTCCCGTTACAACAAGTCGCTCTTCTCGTTTTTGTTTTATAAAGTCCACCAGAGCTACGTCTAATAATGGATACGGTGAAACACCTTGCCGAATACGTTTTGCTGTACGTGTGTTTATGTTATGGTTCAGTGCAGCACGATTCAAAACATCTTCTTGCTTGGTCCATCTCTGAATGTTTTTGCGATGAATGTTGAATTCTGCTGCTGTTTGGGCTATGTTGTGGTTATTTTCTTCCAGCCTTTTTAACACAGTTTTTTTGAAATACAAAGAATAATTCTTTCGCGTTTTACTAGTATACATGACTGCATGAACTATAAAGTGTGACAATTTGCTTCGAATGTTTTGCTTTTGAAATATTACTTTCCATGCTAGACAAAGTAACGGCGTCGGCGAGTCTTGCGGAAGTTACGCCTAATTATTAACCTTTCTCACGCAGCCATTTTTGGGGTACTTTTACGAAAAAACCAGGTGCGTAAAACCACGTTACGGGGAATTTTTATAATTTTTGGGACATATGATGGTAAATTTACTCTACAAATGGTTAGTTTATTCTGAAAATTGCTTTTCTTATTTTTAGAATTGTTTACATTCATTTACAAAAAATGAAAGTACCCCAAAATGGCGGCGTGAGAAAGGTTAATTATAGCGCAAAATACCGGTAATTGTAAAATTATGAAGTTGTCGTTTGTGTCAAAAGAAACCATATGGACGGAAGAAGGAGAAATAGTGCAAATAAGCTTACGATAAAACGCGCCTTGTTGGCGGCCCGTGATTGTAGACCCAACGAGTGCGAGCTTTCCTGTCAGGGATTGAGGGTAAAGTTCGCGAAACAGGGTCTCGATATCAGTCTCGACACGGAATGGCACGGACAATTGACACTCGACCATATGTATTCTGTTTTGAAAGTTATATAACAGGTCATCACATATACAAAGAAATCTGGAGCCCAAGACTGAATGAATTGCTCGTCTGTGAACGAGAACCTGAAAATACTGTTGACAGAAATGCAGTGAAGGTTTTAAAAGGTGATGATGTTGTAGGCCACATTCCAAAACAGCTTGCAAAAACGTGCAACTTTATCCTTTTGGCTGGAGGAAAAGTCTGTGCAACAGTAACCGGACATCGCCAAAATAAAAGAAATAATGGTCTTGAAATTCCATGCCTTTATCGAATAAAAGCCCCACGATCAAGAGCAATTCAAGCTGAGGCCGTAATCAAAGAATATCAAAGACGCATAAACAAAAAACAGTGAAATGTTAACACTAAATACAAGTATATAATGAAAATTAAAAACATTCTCTTCGTGCGTGCAATTAACTTGCAAATTTGACGGTATATAGGCGCATGCGCCTATAATCGGATATAAGCGCATGCGCCTATATCTGCAGGGCGCCTATATGCGGGGGAATAGGGTATTGACAAACTTTGTAGATAATAAGATATACCAACAGAATTGCTACATTTGGATAGTTGAACTATCTATCAGTAGGTGCTGTTTAATTTATTCAAAAGGTATCAGATATTTAAGGTTGACATATGTTTGTGTGAAAAGGTTGTATGCAAAGAGATCTAAAGCCCTCTTAAAGTAGCCCAGCATTAGTTTAAGGAAAATACATTGTAATGTCTAACTGAAACTATTGATTTTCAATATATCTATTGACAAGCTTTGTTGTAGACAATATATATTGTACACTATATACAAGGATAATAAGATATACCAACAGAATTGCTACATTTGGATAGTTGAACTATCTATCAGTAGGTGCTGTTTAATTTATTCAAAAGGTATCAGATATTTAAGGTTGACATATGTTTGTGTGAAAAGGTTGTATGCAGAGAGATCTAAAGCCCTTTAAAAGTACCCTAGCATTAAATGCTTAAGGAAAATAATTGTAATGTCTAACTGAAACTATTGATTTGCAATATATCTATTGACAAGCTTTGTTGTACAAAATATATATTGTACACTATATACAAGGATAATAAGATATACCAACAGAATTGTGATATTTCGATACTTGAACTATTTATCAGTAGGTGCTGTTTAATTTATTCAAAAGGTATCAGATATTTAAGGTTGACATATGTTTGTGTGAAAAGGTTGTATGCAAAGAGATCTAAAGCCCTCTAAAAGTAGCCCAGCATTAGTTTAAAAAAAATATATTGTAATGTCTAACTGAAACTATTGATTTTCAATATATCTATTGACAAGCTTTGCGGATAATAAGATATACCAACAGAATTGCTGCATTTGGATAGTTGAACTATCTATCAGTAGGTGCTGTTTAATTTATTCAAAAGGTATCAGATATTTAAGGTTGACATATGTTTTTGTGAAAAGGTTGTATGCAAAGAGATCTAAAGCCCTCTAAAAGTAGCCCAGCATTAGCCTCCTCCGCAGGCATCACCTTTAAATTGGCAGGCGGCCAAAAAATATTTTAGCGGTGATGCCTGCCAAAACCGGAAGCTAATGGACCAGCTGTGTAACTGTGTGGACCGGCTATGTTACCCCTACTCCCACGGGATTCATAAAAACAGTAAAGATGGCGGAAAAGCCGAAGGAGCGTCAATCGAAAATACCTAGGTATGTCAGAACAACACCACCAGTTTTAAGCGCGGGTTATTTAAACGTATTAAAAGAAATCAAAACAAAGCGCGTAGAGATAGAGGTCAAGGAGCGAAAAATCGAGAATCTTAAGGATTCCTTGCGGGATTCGAATATTGGAGAAGACCCAAAAGAACATGATACATCGGGGCTGTCAACAACGTGTTCAAACCGATCCGCACAAGCAGGGCAAAGAGATAATAATGCTTCACCAGCGAATTCGTTGGAAGTCAAGTGAGAAGTACGATCTGTACTCCTGGAGGTACCAAGCGAAAAGGTATTTTATAGTAAAATCATACTATATTTTATAACAAAATATACAGTTGTATTTCATAATTATGAACTCCATCGTAATTATCGCTAATAAATGAAAGCAATCACCACACAAAGATTGCTTTCATTTATTAAAAACCAGAGTAGCGATAATTACGATGGATTATATACCTGGTTCCGTGAACTTAAAAATCGTGTCACGTAATATAAACATCTAAATTTTTAATTTTATAGTGAGACTGGCTTATTTAAAGTATCAACCCTCAAAGACAGTTTGGACAAAATACTAGTAAAAGAAACGGGTCAGGAGGTTTTAGTTGACGATCTTTTGCATAGTTTGCGCCTTCATTATCATCCTGCAAAAACAACAAAGCGTTCACAACTCCTGAAAGAGATAAGCAAGATACTGGGCACCACAGTCGAATTTGGGAAAGGAAGGAAATTGTAAGATATACATAGACTCATTTTGTTTTTAATACTTCCTGTTTTTTATAAAGAATAAGTAATTATATCGTAATTTTTATTCGTGGTCTTAAGCATTGACAAAGAAACATAAAAATGCAAAAGTCCTGCTATGTTAACCCTATCTATCCTTTAAGCTAAATGTATGTTTACTATTTACTGCTCCTTCTAAAATTCTGTGTGGCATTTATGTAGGTAAAAAATAATCAACCTTGCAAAACATGTAAAAAATAAGCCCCCCCCTCTCTCTGTTAACCCTCCTCTTATTAGATCCTCTCAATTATTATTGTCTTTATTATATAGGCATTGTATAAAAACTACAGGCTAGTGAATGGGCCAACTGGACCAACAAAGCCCATCTGTAAGCTCTCCACCATGTCAGAATCAAGAAAAGGTCTGTTTGTTTTTCAAGGTTTTCAAAGATAAAGTAGATACTAATAAACTTACATTTGCTCATGTGACATGTATTGAATGAAGGTCATGGTCTATAACGAATGAGTCCATGTGCAGTTATTATGTTGAAAGATGTCATGCAGATTTACATTTGGCTACATATTCATAATTTTGAACAGATTTACTAACAATTAAATATCTTTTTAGACTCTTTGTACAATCAGAACATGTGAGAACAAGATTATTCACAACAACAGATGGTGAGTGGTAAAAAGTTGTTTTAATTTAATTACTATAAGATATCAAACTTTTCAATTAATGGTAGTAAATTAACATAAACACTAATGATTAAAATAAATACATTTATTTAGGTTCATGTAATTACATAAATATAAATTATTGCCATTACTTTAATAGAACCAGAAGCATCATATTCTGAACAATATTTGCCAAGCATGTTGGGAGCATTAAATATTCAAGAAGAGACAGGTAAATGTTTGATGTGGTTATGCAACTTATATTTTGGTTGTCTGACATGTATTGTAATTGTGAAGATACATGTTAATATTGTAGTAATACCGGTATACACTGAGTTTTTTTGTATATTTAAAATAGTTTGGATCCAGACGTATAGATAAGCTAGAAATAAATATTATTCTTATTATTATTATACCAGATGTTTTGCGCAGATGTCTGCTATTACAAATTTTACTGCTATTTTAATATTTTTCTTCATAGAATTACCATCTAACCAGGCAATGTTAAAAGAGCAGTTTCTCAAGCTCCAAGATAACAAATACAAAACATTTTGTAGCCACATTAAATGAGAGAATAGAGCACTTGGATGCTGACAAATCAGAATTGCAAGAACGTCTTTATTCCTTGGAAATCTATGTTTTCCACATATAAAGAAAAAGTTACATCAATTGTAAAGGAGCAGGATAATGTAATTACACTGTATAAAGATTTATTAGAACAGGGAAATCTGATTGGTGGCATGTTGTCCATATCAGAGAGACAGTGTATTCAGTCAGAGATTAAGACAGTAAAGCATATTTTTGATTTGGGGATAAGGGGTAAAGAGAAGGCAAAAGACCTAATACAATTTCTTGATCCTTCCCTTTTTCAAAATTTGCTTGTTCAAGTTAAATCCCAGTGCCCTGTGCTAGTCAACATATTGGAGCAACTAGTACTTTGAAGTAATGCAGTCCGTTCCACAAAGAAGACTCCAAATATGAAGATGAAAGCGGCGATTCATTTATTGGCCTCAATTCTTGATGTACGCGATCAGAACGCACGAAATGATATTCCCATTCTGTTTGGATTGTTGTGTTTGAGTTTTGGTGCTGGACCATCCCTAATTACAGTACTGCAGCATTTGGGCTTATCAGAATCACACCCTGTTTTGTAAGTGTATAATATATTGTATATAATAAATACTTTTATTTGCCTACTACGAAAGAAAAAAAGAAGCCAGAATTAAGCAAACTAAAAGTACTGGTTAAAGAAACTTTTTTATGTTGTATATTATATTGTAGTGCAATGTACTCTACTCAGGCGAATAAGATGATTGTGATGTTACTCTGAGTTAAAGTTAGTACTGACGTCAGCTAAAATAAAATAAAATACCCTGCAATGGTGCTTATCGCACTGTAAAGGGGTAAGCAAAGTGTAAAAGACATGTCAGCCATGTAATTCGTTTCCATTTCTCTAAACAAGTGTAATCGGTTTTTATGCAGGAAGAGTGGGAGATATCTGATTAAACCTATTTTGCGCTTATGTGGACAATTTAGGAAATGTATAAAACAGAACAATTCAATTTACATGTAATGCTTTAAAACAATAACAAATTTTTTTTTTGAAATGTTTCTAGAATATCGGTGCTACGTAATCAGCTTGAGCATTACAAGACCATCATCTCAAGCAGAGTTGCTTCTAACCATCCTGTCATAACATACCAGGACAATATGCAAATTATGAGGACATCGCTGAGACATCTTAGGCTTTCGAAATTGCACAAGGAGAAGTTGAAACAAGAGAAGATATGGGATTTCACTGTTCGTGGTTGGCGAGCTGCCGACACAAATGGAATAGAGAACTATTTCAAGAATCCCAATACTGCTGTGGAACCACAGGGTGAAGTGTCCACCATGAAATATGAAGACACTAAACTTGGTAAGCTTGTTATTATACTTTATTAAGAGCAAACCCAAATTAAGGTGGAACATCATTGGCTTGAAAACTTAAACGTATATTATTTGGGTGAATGAATGCAAGCTGCTAATGTAGTTTGGTGAGTACACTGAAATGAATAACGTTTGAGTGTACAAGTGTACGATTAATTAATGTGCAATGTAGCACAATTGTGTTTTTCCTTCAACGATTCCTGTTTCAGATAATAATCCTGAACACAAGCAGATTTGGGAGGAGTTCAAGGAACGCAATCTTCTTCGTAAGATGGATGTGGCGTTCAATTTAGTTCCGTGCAGAATTAATGAACTTAAGAATAAGACATCGACAGATATAAGAATGATTGCAGAAAACGATGCTGATGATGAGACAAAAGAATTTGTCATAGATGTACCGCCATTAAAACAAGAGTTCCCGGAACTAGCATGTCAAAAGTCGCAAGTTTATCCCCTGCCGCTGTCGTTTGAGAACCAATGCACAACTATGGGAACAGCAAATAATCTCTCACTTTTCAGTGAAGAGTTCAACTTTCCTTGCAAACCCGCCGAAAATTATATTCCAATGAGAAACCAGCCAATTTTAATCTGGAGGCCGCGTGTGAAAGATATGCCTTTCTTAAATCTTTGGATAAACATAAGGACAAACAACGTAGATATAAAAATATTTTAAGGAAAAGAGGTGGTGAATCTGCTGATAAAGACAATGTCCAAGTGCTTGATAATTCAATTATTGGAGTTTTAGATAGTGACAGTGATAGTGACAACTTTTCAGACTAAGCTATGGATTATTATATTATAACATATTTTGACACATTTGGAAACATTCTATCCATTATTTATATACCGTTGTTGTAAATCCAGGTCCCGTAATTTGTATCGGTTAAGAAGTTTAGGTTATTAAAAAAGGTTGATGGCGCGATATCATGTGGATCATAGAGATTATAAATAACGTGTTATTATTTATAATCTCTATGATATGATAACGCTGTTGGGCCTTAGCATGACACCCACGTTAAGGTTGCTTTCCATTTACATGTTTTATATTTCGCAAAGCAAAAGTCTTTAATATTTCGCAAGTTTTAGTACGTGAACTGTAAACTATGAGCGCTAAAGGCAGACAGGTTAATGTTTGTTTTGGAGCTGATACTCAGGGATTGCCTTAAGTTTGTTGCAAAGTAGGTTTACCTTTGTACGCTTTCTAGTTGAAAGGTGTAAATTAGCAATAACACATCAAACTTTGTGTGTTCATAGTTTACATTTTACGTTTTTGCAAGGACACCTTAATTGAATTGGCTCATTTGGCTGTAAATTGGGGCGTATAATCGTTACATGTAAATGTAGCAAATTCGATATTTATACATGTGGTTATTTTTATACTCTTAAATTAGACATAATATTTAGGCATTATATTACAAAAAGCGAGATTTTATTTGCGGTATATATGTCATTAGTTGACATATTTTCTTAATCATACCTTTGTATTTTAATTATTTTATATGTAAATAGTGTGATTTCAAAATTGGTATTAATTTTAGTGTAACTGTAATACCATCGTATTTTTTCAATAAGTTGAAATATATTATCACTTGTTTATAATCAACATGGGTGGCTTGAGCATTATATTAACAATATGGCTGTTTCCGAAACTTATGGATAGGCGACAGCGTCTCAAAAATATCGACAGCGCAAAATCAGAGTTTGATTGCGAGACAATGCATAGGCACGCAAAAAATCTGATTTTTGAGTCGATCCCATAAAATGGAGATCGTACCGTTTATAAAAAACTAAACCTATTTATATACATCATGTCGTGCACTTCATTCGGCATGTTCTGTTAATTTTTCGGCTAGTTATAACGGCAAATTAGGAAGTGCTTTTTGCACTTAATGAAATAGGTGTTGTTATGAACGCATTACTGAACTTCTATAGAAGAGTGGTTAATTGTATACAGTGTAAACTTAGCTTAATCTAAAATATTTTTTGGCCGCCTACCAATTTAAAGGTGATGCCTGCGGAGGAGGCTAAATCATGAGCAATCTGGAAGACGCAAATGCGACACAGTTACAAAATGTTTCATGGGCTGAATTGGTTGCGAACGTTGGTTTACAATCGGTAAATGAAACTTTGGATTCTCGAACGGGTCAAATTTTTATAAAATTGCAAGAATTAGCGTCATGCACATCAACTGACTCGGCTTTAATAGCGATTTTAAAAGAGAAACAAGAAGAGTGGCAACCTGCAAGAGATCAGTATGCAAGAACAGTTTTGCATTTAGCCGCAATGAATGGAAACACTAAGCTTGTTCGTTGCCTTGTTCTAGCAGGCGCTCATGTCAACCCAAAAGACGGGATTCATCAAACTCCTTTGACTCTGGCGATTCACAAAGACCAAATTAACACTGCCAAATTCCTGGTGGAGATCGGTTCCAATGTACCGGAAGACTTCTTCAAAGAGACTGCTTCGCCTCTAGAGATCGCCAAATTAAAGAAAATAGAAGTAATTGTTAGTATGATTGAAATGCGACAATCATACGAGAAGAATGTCACAGATTTTGTTGCATCGAAATTTTTTCAAATTTTTAAGCAACAGCAATTCCAGTCTCGAACAGAAAAAGAAAGTTACGATAGGACGGAGATCTCAGAGGGCTCATCACCTACTAGTGCCACTGACTACGCTCGCATTTTGAACATTAACGTAGGAGACCAGAAAAACACTGTCACGATTCAAGGTTGCGCAAATCGATGTCCAGATCAATATGGTTGTCATACACCCGGAGCTGGTGACTTTCATAACCGAGGTTATGTTAATGAATGCCTAGCAAGATTTGCAGGACAAGGAGGTTTCTGGCATGTGGTTGAGAAAATCCTTAAACGTCCCACTGTAAACCCTAAATCATTCAAAAATAAATTCAAAGAAAATAACTATAACAACAACGAAGAGGCAATTGCGGACTATGAAGATGGAATTTCAATTGCGATGTTGAAATCTTTTCAAGAATCACAGATTTTTCCTACACAAGAAGAGCTTGACCATTGTTATCTGGTGAATAGGTCTCATAATGCAATTCTCCTGAAAAAGTTGTATGATTGGTTGGGCATAATTGGAAATGATAAAATGGCAAATTACCACATTAAGCTTGCTAATGATATTTTGCCAATTCGTAGATGGTACAAAGAGTCGATACGACATGGCAATGGAAAAGCAGTGGAGGCGGATTGGATGATTTCCCCCGCTATCTACGCACAAGCAGGAAAGTTCAATTACAGAGATGAAAGTTTTTCACACATCGTCAATTATTCGCGGAAATGGCCACTTGCCTACAGAATGATGTACAGACAAAACAGAACGGTCAATGTTGACGGAAGAGTGGGTAAACAGCTAGCGGGAGATGAATGGGTGGAGGAACACCTGGTTCGTCCTGTAAAAATGTATGCTAAAGCGCAAACATCGTTTAGTGTACTTGAGATGATGTCTTGCTCGTCAAATATATTGGAGATGAACAAGAAACTTTATACGGATAGGGAGGCGTTTGACATTCACCGGACTAGAAAACATCGCACACCGGAGTCTCTTTACGATCAATTGATAGCCCAGTTTGCTATACGAGAAAACTGGTTTGAAGACTTGGACAGAACGAAAGTCATGAAGTATCCGTGGGGAGATAAGAAAATAAAGGAAGGAGAAGCAGTAGCTGATAAATATATCGATCCTCTAAGCAAGGGGGATGAAAAGGCAAAGAACGAATTTGAGTCATTCCTCCACAGAAAGTATCCAAATGATATGGATACATGACTTTATTGAGCAAGTCTATAGGTATCTTCTTAATTCTAGTCATATTAGGTGACATTTTCAAACAAGCAGGAGGAGTAAATATAGGTGCCAGGCGCTGTGGTTATTGTAGTACCCAGATTACATTGAAACAGAGGTTAATCATTGACAACAAAATTAACCTTTAATTTAATCCCATAAAAATACACTGTCTATTTTCATCTTGTTTACTGTCATTGAAATGGAAGTTTTGATAAAATATTGCATAAATCAATCAATCAATGTTTACAAAGAATTGATCAATTCATTTGTTGAATAATTGATCAACTTCCTCTAGCTGTGTGGGTAATTGACCAAACTTTAAGAATTTTTATTTTAGTGACTGATTGGGAAAAAGCATGCCATTAAACAGGAAGTTGAGCAATATTTATGCAAATGATTTACTTTGTAGGTAATGAACTGATGCAATATTCTATTAATGGCACTAATATAGGTGCTTTTTTAAAAATACATGGCTTGGCAAACTACATTTGATCCTGCATAAAAATAGATTTTCTATGTTTCTCAGTATTCTATTAAAATATACAAAGTTATAGACAAATCTATTAAGGTAATGAATACAGTAGGAGTACATATATACAGTATGTTAATGTTATTGCTCAATACTCTGGTTTATAAAAATGATTACAAAGCACAGACGAATTGTAATCAAGACCCTACGTTTCGACACTCCCACAAACCTGTAGATTTCATTTTTGTGGAGGTAGCAAATTTTCAAATGGAGCTAGGTTTTGCCACATTCTCATGCCTTGAAACTGATCGAATAGTGATATTTCAACTAAATTTTGAATTACTTGACTGTATATTTTGGATTTGGAGAATTTTAAGGTACAGTGTAGTGCCGCTCCATGGACTTCCTACTTTCTACAGGCATGAACGTTGGGTCATGATTGCAATTCGTCTAGGTTTTGTAATCATTTCTATAAACTAGAGTAGTGAGCAATAACATGACTACCTGGTTGCTGTGAACAAACAAACTTTAAATCTATACAGTATGTTGTTTTGCAGTTTTGACAATAGCATTGACAACAGCATTTCTTGTAAAAAATAAAACCTATACTTAAATATACCAATTTACTTCTATATATACCTGTATTGTATGATACAATTATTGTAATAGTTTGTAATATATTTATAATATATTTATACCTTACAATACTTCTCAACATCGTTCTCCAGCTTCAGCACAAGATGGGCCTTTGAGCCAGGATAAACATTTACTGAAAAGGTAGTATTTTTAACCTCAACAGTCTCCAGTAACACATCATTGACAATGAGGGAATGTAGGAACTTGTCAAGCAAAATAACAGGCTTAAATGCCTTTTGTAAACAACCAAATGTACTGAATTTGTCAAGTTCATTATCTTTGATGAATTTTCTTGAACTCCCGGTAAGAAAAAGTTTTAATGTTTGGCAATTAATTTTTGTCCCAGACAATTCCAACACTGCTTGAACAACTTTAAATGCATCAGACGTCCCATCCGTCTTGATGTATGTGCCCCGGTGCTTACAATTGTCACAGCTTTCACCACACATGTAACCCTCTTGATTCTCCCCATAATACTTTAATATGGATGAATGTCGGCATGTAACAGGATCTTCCAGAAATAAAATTAACTGGTTAAGTTTTACAGACTGCATAGCAAAGTCACCACTTCCATGAAAGAGTTTCAGAAGAGCAGTTTTATCTGCATAATTATAATACAATATGCAAGTGCTACGTTGACCATCACGACCTGCCCTTCCACACTGCTGAAAATATTCATCCAGATTGGTAGGCATTTTTGCATGAATAACAAACCGAACATTTGTATTGTCAACTCCCATACCAAACGAAGCATTTGCAACCATGACTTTCACTTCACCTGATGTCCACTTTTGATAACTGGCATCTTTAACAAGCTGGGACAATTGACTATGGTACTTCACACACTTGACATTTCTTTTTAATAATTCTGAATGTAGTTTAGATACATCTGATGGAAAGACACCATAGATGATTCCACATTCATCATTCCTATTCTGTACAAATTGAGCTAACTTGTCATAAAACTTATTTCCTAAAGGCTTCTCTTCAATACTTAAGACTATGTTATAACGCAACACAGTTCCTTTAATTATTTCCAACCTACCAAACATTTCCAACAGCTCCAATATCAGCTGGTGGGGTATTGTTGCACTTAGCAACAACTTAGGACAAGGGAATTTTGCCAACTCAATTGCAGCAACTTTGTAATGAGGGCGAAATGTATTTCCCCAACTGCAGATTGTATGGGCTTCATCGAATACAATTCTTTCAATACTGATACTCTTGAATTTATCTAATATAGTTTTGTTCACAAACATTTCTGGTGTACAAAAGATCAGTGTATATGCATTGAGTTCTCTCAGAGAAGAATCACGAGCATCGTCTGGCACATCACCAGTAATTTTGCAAGCTGCAATGCTAAGAGCTAAACATCTATGTAAAAGATCATCTATCAATGACAATGTAGGAACTACAACAATAGTAGGCTTATCAGCAAGAACAGCAGGCAGCATGAATGTCAAACTTTTACCTCCTCCAGTACCAAGAACTCCAAGAACATTTTTACAGTCCATGGTTGCAGAAATTATTTCCTTTTGAAGGGGTTTGAACGACTGATGATTAAATATGTTATTTAATGTCTTCTCTACAAGCGATTCAAGAGAACCAAAGTCATCTTTGTTCAAAGTCGAACTTTTTTTCGTACTATAAAGAACATCAGAAGGCTCAGATTGCATGTCATTAGAAGAATCGTCCTTTGCCGTTCTTTGAATTTTCACAAGACTTATATGCGGTGTACTGTTGCTCCCTACTTCAACATTATAAACGGTTATTTCGCTGTTTTCTAAGCCGACATGCATTAACAGGAAACCAAACTTTGTCGCTGATTCGAAACTGCTGCTACACGTTAAATTTGCCACAGTATTTAAAGCACTAACTTTGTAGTTAAATATTTTATCCTTTTCAAAATACGGAATCTTTTCAACCTTGACTAATATTTCTCTAATTTCGTTTTCAGAATACACTGTTACTGCTTTCGCATCCGCCATATTGGCAAAGCAATTTGCTACCACCCACCCCTCCCATAAAATTACGATTTGTAATGTGCAAGCAATATGCGCAGAACGTCTATGACATGTCGGGTTTTGGCAGGCATCTCCCCGCTTTTCTCTCCTCCTCCTCAAATTCGGGCAAAAGTCGGTCGGACAAAATTCAGGCGGGAGATGCCTGCGGAGGAGGCTAGCCCAGCATTAGTTTGAGGAAAATACATTGTAATGTCTAACTGAAACTATTGATTTTCAATATATCTATTGACAAGCTTTGTTGTAGACAATATATATTGCTAATTGCTATATTTGGATAGTTAAACTGTCTATCAGTAGGTGGTGTTTAACTTATTCAAAACATATCAGATATTTAAGGTTACATATGTTTGTGTGAAAAGGTTGTATGCAAACAGATCTAAAGCCCTTTAAAAGTACCCCAGCATTAAATGCTTAAGGAAAATAATTGTAATGTCTAACTGAAACTATTGATTTCCAATATATCTATTGACAAGCTTTGTTGTACAAAATATATATTGTACACTATATACAAGGATAATAAGATATACCAACAGAATTGTGATATTTCGATAGTTGAACTATTTATCAGTAGGTGCTGTTTAATTTATTCAAAAGGTATCAGATATTTAAGGTTGACATATGTTTGTGTGAAAAGGTTGTATGCAAAGAGATCTAAAGCCCTCTAAAAGTAGCCCAGCATTAGTTGAAGGAAAATACATTGTAATGTCTAACTGAAACTATTGATTTGCAATATGTCTATTGACAAGCTTTGTTGTACACAATATATATTGTACACTATATACAAGTATAATAAGATATACCAACAGAATTGCTATATTTGGATAGTTAAAATATCTATCAATAGTGTTAAGGACTTATGACACTCCCCTTGTTGTGTTAGCTTATCTTTACACACAGTGCCAGCGTCGCATCTAATGTATGTCTTTGTACGTTGATCGGCCCCGGGGGCTATAACGCAAGGCACGGACTACGTATGATTAATAATAGTTTTAGTTTGTGTGAGATAGTCACAGAAGTAACACCTGTATCGTTAGTTGGTGCGTACTTAGTAAAATTTGTTGTTAAAGTGGTGAAAGGACTAGTTCAGCGCTGTGGGCAAAACGGAACTGATATGTAAGTGACATTTCATGAAACTTTGTTGGTTTAGTTCTAATTTAATGTTTTGTTAATACGCTCTGTTTGCATGTTCACCTTATGTTTAATTATAGTTGCATGCATTTATGGTGTCCTGTGTGCAGCGTACTGCTGTTTTCTTTTAGATTGCATGTATTCTTGAAAGATAGATATTTGTTTTATAATGCAAGCTATAGTTATTTAAGTTTTCCTATATGTTGTATTTCAGTTTACGATTACAAATCAATATAACCTTCACGTCTTGAGTGTAATTCGTCGGTTATAACGTCGAATCACCATTAGCGGTCACATAAGGCTTTCTCTGTGGTTTTAGTCAATTTCGTGATCCGTAAAGTAGTCCCAATTTGAACTCGGTGTTTCGATTTTACTTCGTGAATTTCGGCGAAGTAACAGTAAAATATCATCAAACATTTAATTCCCAACGGTTGTGGACTAGTCAAGCTCGATTTCATTGAACAATGACATTCATTTGCTGAGCATTGATAACTGTGGTTTGTAAAGCACTGTATTGAATCAATGAGCATTTATAGTGCAAACAGCGCACCAACGCAGCTTGAACGTCGCGAAAACGAAGACCAGATTACCCGCGCACATAACTCGCCAAAATCACCGAAAAGTCTAACAGACGCTCCTAAACGAGAGCGAAAACCAACTGCAAAATGGAAAAATTATCAATTCGAACTAAAAGAGGCGAACAGGATTTCTTCCTACAAAAAATTAAAGAGAAAAATCGATCAAATTCATGACATGTTGCGAGATATTTCAAATCCGGACGTAGAAGAATTTGAAAGGGAACGAGATAATTTAGATCTCCTTAGAGATGACTTTGACATAGCAAATCATGAATACAATTCGCAGCTAAATTCAAAGGAAGATATAGAAGCTTCTTCTAGCTGGTTTGACGTTCGAGATCATGAGTACATCGAATGTCGAATGAGAATTTGTGAGCGAATCCATGTCCTCAAAAGGAAATCCAATAGAGCGCGATCCGTACAATCAAGTTTAAGATCTGGGCGCGGCAAATCAATTTCCTCTAAGGCAAGTTCATCATCGAAACATTCCTTATCTCTTGCTTGCGTAGATGCGGCCACCGAGGCAGTTAAATTAGAAGCGGAATTGCAATGTCTTGACCAGGAAAGAACGATAAGACGTTTACAATTAGAAAAGGAAATTGCTATCGCGAACGCTCAAGAAAATGCAATTAAAAGAATTATCAATGAGGAGAATAGTGTTAACGGAGAAATCAAAGGTGTAAAGACAGAGATAAAAACTGGCAATAGCGTTAAATGCGCAGATTTAGTCTTAGATCCGAATTCAGCCTCGTTTACCCCGAAGACACCCTCGTGTTCACCCAATATCCCCTCTCAGCCTTTGACGCAACAAATTTCAGCCGAATGTACCTTTAATTCAGCATTCCAAGAGATAGTTGACTTGCAAGCAGAACAGACTGAACTAAATTCTTGTCTTATTGATCAGCAAAACGCTATTAATCTTCCCGTTAAAGAGCCACCTACGTTTTCTGGTGACCCCTTTGAATTCCCCGCATTCTCCACAGCCTTCGATTGTATTATCTCGGAAAGAGTTTCGTCTGACCGTGATCGTTTGTACTTCTTGGAAAAATACACAAAAGGCAAAGCGAATGAGATTGTCAAAGGCTTTTTAGTGGTGGCTTCAGAAAACTCGTACAAAGAAGCTTGTAAACTTTTAGCAGATAGGTTTGGAAATCCCTTGCATGTAGCAGAATCTTACAAGTCTCGTTTACGAAATTGGCCACAGATTAATGACACTGATAATAAAGGCTTGCAAGACTTCTCTGATTTCCTAGTACGTTGCGAAGAAGCTGCAAAATCTGTCAAATGCATTGGCGAACTCGATTCTGCGCATACAATACGTCAACTTTGTGCAAAATTGCCTTCGTTTTGTGCTGTGAAATGGTGCCGACAAGCCCGTGAGATTAGAGAGAAGTCTTCCAGCAGTATCAACGCGACCTTTTGTGACTTTGTAAAGTTTGTGAAAAGAGAGTCGGAGCTTGCCAATGACCCAGTTTTCTCGCTAAACGCAATTAAGATGGAAAGAAAGCGTGGCTTCAAGTTGAACGAGAGAGAAAATGGAAAGAAGCCAACCCTCCCTAAAAGAGGTCATGGTTCATTTGCTAAGTCTGGCTCAGAACAAACAGAACAAAACGGACAGAATACGTTACGTTGTTCATTATGCGAAGGTTCTGACAGCCTCATGAAGTGTTGAAAGTTCATCAATAAACCTGTCGAAGGTCGTAGTGAGTTCATAAGAAGCAATGGACTTTGCTTCAGATGTTTCGCGAAGGGTCATTTATCGAACCGCTGTCCCAACATTGCTGCGTGCAGCGAATGCGGAAAGCGACATCACACTCTGCTACACGGAGCAAAACCAAAGACAAAGAAAGATTCGCCTTCGAAATTTGACGAAACGAAGAGAAGTAATAAACCTGAAGATAAAACTAGTGATCCAAGGATAGTGCAAAGTTTGTGCCTTATAAGCATTAAGCAGAAAGTGGTTTCTTAGGAAATTCCGAGGTTGCTTTTTTCTGCACACCGTATAAAGAAAAGGTGTATTAACTATGGTTACTGCGAAAGTTAACGAATCAAATGTGGGAATTTGAGAATTATCAACAATACTGCAAAATGGGTGCTAAAATGGGCCGATTTATCTGATTATAAACAGACAGATATTGTACAATCTTGCATGTCACTGCCCACCATGCACAATTTTGCATGTCAATCTTGCACGGTGACGTTAAGTCGCATTGTAATTTCTTTGTCAATACAACCATTTGCAAGCTTCCGTTAAGCGCGCCGTCAAAACAAGGTTGTAAAAAGTTATAATTAGCATTTTTGACAAGTCAAACGTGTCACTTTTACGGGTGTAACTTTTAGTTTTGGCGACGTCGCCAAAATTAAAATTTAATGGTAGTTTATAATATTTTTGTAATGTTTTGTAATATTTTTGCATCTTGAATATTCAGGACCGTAAAAGATCTTAACTTGCGCAATCCCATTCCGATAACAAACGTTGAAAGTACAGTCAGTGTATTTTCAAAGTAGATGTAAAATACGACAAGGCTGTTTGAATTTTTTATTTTCCTATTTAGTGTTTGTGACAAGAGTTAATTTGTGGCATAATATTTATTTATTTTATTTTACACTTTTTGCTATAAAGAGATAAAGATACATGCATGGAATTACACACAGAGAAGAGTTTCTCCAATAACGGAGTTCAAAAACAGTTGAAATAAACATTGAGGAGTGAGACTACCATTAGGAAAAATTATTCGACAAAAAACTTAAAAACATATACACTTAAACAGGATAGGTGGCTGACAAACATATAGATTTACACAGAGCAGCTGGATTTATACACATAGAGAAGACTTTCTCCAATAACAGGTTTGCAAAAACAGTTGAAATAATTGTTCAGTAAACATTGAAAAATGAGACAAACATTAGGACACACTTTTCGACAAACATGACAAACAAACAGACAACAAATCAAGCAATGGAAGTAGCGGGGAGTTAACAAACAAGTAAAAAACAGACAAAGAATAACAGTGGACAAAAACGTTAACGAACGAAATACCCCGCAAATTAGTCATGCGCTATCGTAAAGTTAGCAACATGATTTCGTTAACGAGATAGTTAACGAACAGGTTGTATGACACTTCATACATACAGGCATTAAAGTCCTCGTATCTTCAGGATTGTAGATACTGTTCGAATGAAGTAGGAGATTTGGTGGTGTCTTTAACGGTACAAAGAAGCATGTTCCATGTACTTTGGAAGCTTTGATATAATAGC